AAAAATAGATCAATACATCCAATATATTCTGTGATTAATATTTATCAGAGTAATATAGGCGGTGTGTTTAAAGTAGCTTCACCATCCAAACAATTGCACGTTAGGTGACAGAATCCATGTAAAACAATTACATGACTCAGTGTCAGAGCTCACACTTTCACATCTTTAAACCTACACTGACCTTAAAGGGCTGAGGCTTTGTTAATGGACGACTGTCCTGCCTCCACATGTGATATTTATTATGGGAGCTACGCTCAAATTGACAGATTTCCTATTTTAAATGAATCTTAAAGGCAGAGACTACAAGAACAAATTAAACGCCTGTTTTTACGCTTTTACTTTTTTAATCAAAACATCGTAATTTGCTCACAAGTATCAGCAGCTTTTTTTCCACACAGGTGTGTTCGAGTCAATCTTAATATATAAAATGTCTTAACTCTGCTATGAAAAAGCGTCAGACGGGATCACTTACTTCTTGGTGCCACTCATCTCTTCAGCGTGCGATAAACCTCCCTGCTGAATATGCTGAGCAGAGCGGATCAGAGGAGCGAGCGGCTGCTGATGTTTGACCTGACAAAGTAACACAGAGAGAGGTGATTTCTCTGCTTTCACGGGCGAGTCTTACACGCAGGAATCACAGCAATGTGCTACATGTGCTGCTGCCGCTGTAAAAGTTTAGCAAAGGTTAGACTTAAAATCACAACGCAGGAAAAATGCAACATATGGTGCTGACATTCACACCGAAAGATCAAACAAGCGGACTTCATCAACTTTGGCTCCCAGAAAACACCATCAAATCAAGTTGAACGAGCAAACGGCCTGACCAAAACAACAGCTGCGCATTTTACGCGCAACCCACTCTTGAGTATTGTGATAATTTACCAAGTTGAGCATATAAAGTCACAAAAAGCAAGAAAACGTCTACAAGCTCCTGAAGACACCTGCAGAAAAATGACAAGAAAACAAAGGTGATTTCGTACCAAGGCGTCTTTTTACGCATGTACACGAGGCCGGAACACGTCTCGCTGTGCAAAGTGAAACTGGAGCTGCGGACTTACCTCTGCGTTATTGATCTTTGGCTTTGTGTCTTTGGTTCTTATTGTCCCTCCTTCGCTGGCATGCAGATAAGAGGTACTGCTCCCACTTCTTAGAGTAAGTTTGAATGTGGCATTGTGACAGCAGCTGCGCTCAGCGTGCAGCCTCTATCTCCTGGACCATCCTTCCTTCAACGCCACTCCTCCGGTGGGAGGTCAAACTGCCCCTCCGCTGCACCGTCCTGTTTTTCTCCCAGCTTTGTTTTTGCTCCAGCTGGACCATTGCGCGGTTTGAGCGCGCGGGCACGATGTTGGAACGCACGCGGATATTCGCAGTAAAGTCTGTAGGAACTAAAGTCACGCACAAAAAGAGCGACATTGGATTTAAATCATTCAATTAGATACTCATCTGTACTGTAATCTGTACTTTCTGAAATCACGTTTAACTTTGGCTCACATAACAATCTGTGGATGCTTTCATCAGGCACTTGCAGAGGGGGGTAGCAGAGCCTGCCCCTTTCCTGATGGGTGCCCCAAGTTTGTTTGTTTTTTAGGGTTTGCACAGAGTGGATAGTCAAACAAACTGGATCCTCATAAATGCATTCTTTTATATTTATTTATTTATTGTCCTTATTACTTTATTATTATAGCACTATAATAAATCCTATGGGAAGGATTCTGGATCAGCAACATCATGCAAACCTTTGACCATAGTACGTACAGTATATACTATAAAATGTCCCTGTTTGTGTGTCTGTGCGTGTTTATAAAGTTATTACTCAAGTATAAAAACAATTATAAACACAACTGCAATGTTTTATAACATTTTTCCATCATTACTTTATTATGGATTAAGTGCAAGGTTGTTAACTGTGGATAATGAAATCTTTTTACCTCTGAGCCCCCCGCCCCTTCAAACATCTCTGCACGGCCCTGGCTTTCATTCGATGCCGGTAATGTCCAGCATAGCTGCAGCTTCTAAAGAGGACACCTGCTGAAACTGCTTAGTTGTGCAGCTATAGAGCGCCATCTGTTGGAAGAAATATTGCAAGCTTGGCTGAGTCAACCTTCTTACTTGGCTGTAATATCAGCTTTATCATCACCAGCTGCAGTAAATGGAAAGTAAGTTTGATGCCATGGCTGAAAAAAGCGTTTTTGTTAATTTTGCTGAAGGTTCTTTTTTACCTGAGTCTTCCTCACACTATGAAATTATTAATTATAGCTTAGCCTGTTATAAAAATAATAGTTGTTTGTGGTGTCTTGGTTTGAGCCACTGTTAAAGTCTAAAGCCTAAAGTCTCCCATTCTAAATCAAAACTCTTATCATCTGCTGTGGTTCAGAAAAGGTCGTTCACTAAGGTCTTTTCTTGGTTTGCAACCCACTTAACAGTTAAATACACCAAATACTTGCAATGTTAAAGTAAGACAATAGCTCGAGTGACTCAAACTGTCACTGTCCTACATCAGCAGCATAGCCCAGCAGGTCAGTCTGCTCAGGAATAGCTTGAGGGTCAAGTCTTGACCCATCTTTGCCAGATCCCAAAGGAGCATCTGTGGGATGTGGCAGCACAGACCGAATCCAAGGTGGGCCACGCTGCAAAACCACAGTATCCAAAAGATGTGCTGTCAACCACCTGGACCCAGCAGCACTGATAAAACGGAGGTCTCCTGTCCTTGAGATGACAGGCGACAGCCTGTTTGAAGCGGCAGACATAAAGTTTGGATTCAGTGCATCCTTGAACATTTAGCTTTGCATCCCTCCCAAATTCTTTCGGACTAAAGAATCATTGATAACCAAAATGGTTTCCAGAGACAATAAAGCTACTGAGAGCAGGAAATCCATCAGCACCAAGTTTAATTGTGCACATTTAAGAAAAGAAAGACAGAACAAACTGGTTAATGTTTCCAGACTATTTATGCAGAATCTGGTGGCCAGCCATGGGGTAAAAGGAGTTTTATTAACATTCCACACAGACCTGACTTTCCAGGAAAAGGTGAATATTTAATTTGGAAATAGAGAAACAATTGTCATCAGTCACCTTTGCCAGTTTTTGTCGGTGTAAAAACAAATCCAGGGACAGCCAAGTTGAAATTGTTAACTAAGGCAGACATTAAGTGTAGATTCAGTCCTTGAACATTTAGCTTTGAGTAAAACTCAAAATCTCTAATTATTAGGTCAAATTGTGATGTTAGCCCAGATATAGATTTTTATGGCAAAAAAACATGTTTTCAGTGGCACAAACAAACTTCCATACGAAACAGGAATTTTAATATAAGTGTTGAATGTTTCTGCCTCAGCCAGGTCATTTCTATACAAATGAGTCTGCAGGTATCAGGCTTCTAACATTTAACATTTTCTCTATTTCATTTCCTTTATCCATAAACGGCAGCAGATTCTGACAGCATAAACTTCCACAGGTAATAATCATTTACTTACTTATAACTTTTTTGTTTTGTTTTTTGAAAATATTTCCTCAGAATTAAGCAGCGATTCAAACAATTCTGCCTTAATAAACTCATGTTTATATCAACCTGTTATCAGCTTAAACTTTCATGCTCTCCAGGTTTTAACACCAATACTGTACGTTTTTGTATCTTATGTGGAAATTATTTTAACGAACACTCGGGAATAAAAGCATCATTCAGACAATCAGCAGATCAACAGATAGCATTGTAGCATTAAGCCAAAAGCATTGAAGCATCTTGTTTAATTGTTATCAGCATGATGTGTATAACACTAATACAGATTATAACTTTTTTGTTTTGTTTTTTGAAAATATTTCCTCAGAATGAAGCAGCGATTCAAACAATTCTGCCTTAATAAAC